GGTATTTTCAATCACCTAATTTGAACAGGGGAGCTGAATAAGACATAAAGGAAGAGAGAAGAAATAAACCTTTGGTTATGGTGCTAGTGAAAGAATTTGTTCTGGAAGAAGTGAAATCAGATCGCTTCAATATTTGGACATACCCTGTTTCCCCGAAAGTAAGACATCTCCCCCAAATAAAACCTACTTACAGTTTTGCCTCTCGTTGAAATATAAGGCATCCCCAGAAAATAAGACCTCCCCCAAAATAAGCCCTCCGCCGAAGCTACCATAACTCTGGACTCTGGACTGTAGCGGCAGGCACCACCGCGCAGCTCACTGTTGGCCGCAGCGCAGCCGGAGCAGTCAGGAAGTGCGAGTAACTGTACCATAGCTTGTTGTTCATGGAAATAATGGTAGTAACAAGGAATTCTTGACACTGTAGGATTCAGTTTGTCTGGTTATGCTGGTTTGTGATGACAACTACTACCGTACTATATACAGGTAATACATTTCCTTTTTTGTTGTTCAACAATAAATGTGTACCGTATTCTTCTTCATGGAAGATTAAGACATCCCCTGAAAATAAGACCCAGAGCATCTTTGGGAGCAAAAATTAATATAAGACACTATCTTATTTCCATGGAAATGGGAGATTTGACAGAAGATCTGTTTGTGTGTCTGTCCATTTACCTTTGCTGAAACTACATCTATGAATGTTGCTGGAGCACAGAGGGCAAAGTTACGAAAACTTCCTAGACAGAGCTAAACACCTTGAGGGAATGAGCCCTGGGCCTGGAGGCTCAGAGCACAGTCTCAGTGGACACCATGGTCAATTGCCATTGACAGTCCACAAAGACAATGTTCTATTTTCTCCTTGGGTGAGTAGCAACTGGGCTTATAAAAACTCGCCAGTGGCCATCTAGGTACAACTATAGGTCTCTCCCAGCCTGGGGAAGAGGAAAGACAATGGGAGACGCATGGGAACAATTAGTCCAATGACAACGGACCGAGTGAGCATCAGCCTCCACTACCTCAAGACCATCAGAAATAGATGGTGCCTGGTGACTCCTAATGGCTACCTTGAAAAGGATCACATTTAAAGGCCCTGGAGAGGAATGTGCAACAAAACTCAAAATCACATGCAAAAATGTCCACTGGTCAGACGATTGGTAGAAGCTCCAAGACGATGGCAGCCCTTGTTGCCCGTTAGGTGTGGAAATGAACTCACCCAGTGACTCACTTTCCAGCCAACACACAGCTCCAAGGGGGCTAACATTCAGCAGTCGTTTGAGATCAAAACGGCAGTGCTTACCCGAGGGCAGAGTTGAGGAGGGTTAAGGAAGGAGGAGGAACCGGAAAAGGAAGCGGAAGCAGCGAGATAGCTGATGGCACTGTGGGGACTGCGATCCAGGACAGGAAGCCAAATGTGCATGAGCTGCTGAATGGGAAGCTAGTCTGTTCTGTACGCCTTCGTCCAATTAAAAGGAAAAGTTCAGAGAGAGAAAAAGTCACTCGGAGGCCAAACTTCACTTTTATGTGACGATTTAAAATGGAAACATTTGTCTACGTTCAGACTATGTAAATATGCTTTCATTAGGGATCTTCAAGTCTGTATGCTTCCTGGGGAAAATATCCATGTTTCAGTGGAAATAAACAAAAGTACTTTGGGGTCATTACTTTCTTGAAACGCCAAGAAGCAGAGCAAGGACCACAGCCGCCCTCATCCGGGAGCTCCACCTCTCTTCCCTTGTTCTGCACTACAACCAGTCCTGGAGAAGAACCCAGGCGGTGACAGCTGGGGAGTCTGGCTGTCTTCCTGGGGACCCCCAGAAGGCAGAGATCAGAGATGCTCTTTGGCCACCTCCCCAGTTCCATTTTGACTAAAGTACAAGTGGGGGAGGGGGGCTCCCAAAGGCCTTCCAGGACCATGGGGTGTGGGTATTGAGAGTAATAAATAATTTCTGGGTTTCCAACTTCCTGTTGTATTAAAATAGACCTGTCTTAAAATGTCCTAGGTAACTCAATGGTTAAGTACTCAGCTACTGACCTACAGAGTGGCAGTTCAAACCCACCCAGCACGGTTAGGATTAGTCAGGAAAGCCCCATGCAATGTTCAGCAGACACATTGTGGGGCTGTGCCGCTGGGTTTACAGGCTAAGTACCTGAGTCTTGGGGGACATCCAGGTCCCCGAGCAAGAGAGTGATCTACATCCCAATTTGGGGAGTAGCGCCTGGGGTCTTAAAAGCTTGTGAGCAGCCATTACGATACAGTCATTGATCTCGTCCCTTCTGAAGCACGGGGCAGTGAAATACACCAGACTTAAGAAACAACTATTGGACAGGACTGATGGCTCACAGGAACTACAGTTTTCCTTAGCCTGAGACCAGAAGAACAGGATGGTGCCCAGCTACAGATACCATCAGCTCTGACCAGAGATGTGACGGAAGGTCTCAGCACAGGAGGAAAATGTAGAACAAAACTTACATTTATGACCATGACTGAATTCGACCTTGCAAGTCTGGCTAGACCAGAGGATGTACACTGGTACAGATGGGAGCTGAGAATCCAGGGAATCCAGGGTGGATGATCCCTACAGGACCAGTGGTGTGAGTGGCGAAACAGGGAGGGTGGAGGGAGAGTGGGTAGGAAGGAGGGAATCGATTACAAGGGACTATATGTGACCTTCTCCCTGGGGGACGGACAACAGAAAAGTGGGTGAGGGGAGATGCCGGGCAGGGCAAGATATGACAAAATAACAATTTATAAACTATCAAGGGCTCATGAGGGAGGGGGGAGCAGGGAGGGAGGGGGGAAATGAGGACCTAATGTCGGGGGTTTAAGTGGAGAGAAAATGTTTTGAGAATGAAGTACAAATGCGCTTTACACAATTGATGTGTGTATGGATTGTGATAAGAGTTCTATGAGCCCCTAATAAAATGTTTTTAAAAAAAACATTTATTTTTCAAAAAGACAAGACAGAACGAAACTGCTAGAAACTAGAGGGACACCCCGAGATTACTGCCCGAAAATATCTTTTTAACCTGGAACTAAAGCCACTCCCAGAGGTCACCTTTCAGCCAAAGAGGCTGGCCTATAAAATAAACAGTGACTCTGAGAACAACCCACTACACATGTCAAGCACGCAACCTCTGCCCCGAAGCAAAGACGAGAAAGCCAGGAGGGGCCAGGACCCGGGAGGGGTGGAAATGGGAAGGGCACTGACACACTGCGGGGACAGCGATCCAGGTCACAGCACGATCCAGGTCACAGCACAAGTTGCATACAAAAGGAACGGCAAACTCACTAGGACAGCAACCACAGAGCTGTTCTGCTCTGGTAGAAGGGTTGCAGGAGCTGGAACGGACTCAGCAGCAACAAACAAGGACGGTCTAAGGCTGTGGTCAGGACTTCGTGGCGCACGGCGCACTTTTCAGAGAGCCTCTCCCACTGCCCGGTGTGCAGGAGGGTGCACTGCCCTGGCTTCCCGCCTTTCTTTGTCTTTCGTATATTTCTGGGAAAGGCAAAACTTTTATTATGCACTGCGGTAGATACATAATCTGGTGTCAATTTGAGGATAAAGAGTGAAAGGGTGAAGTACTGTCAATCAGATCACAGCCAATGAGGCCTCTGTGTGGGCATGGCCTTCTCCTGAGGATTCTGGGAACTCCTGGATTTCCTCCTTGGAGGGAGACTTTCTATCTAATCTATCTTATCTATCTATCTACTCACTCCCTGCGAGACATCCCTGAGGAGAATCCACATGGACCTACCCTGATGCAACCAGAACCCTGGGAGCAAATAAGCCACGTGGAGACCCCTGCCAGCGCTGAGATGCTTACACCACCACTGGATCCACACCCACTGGCCTGTGATCTTGAATTTGGCGTCATTGCATGTGTTACATGAGTCTGAAGAGGCATTTATAGATTGATATCACACATATGGGCTAGTATCGGACTTACGGACTTGATCTGGACTGGGCTGGGCTGTTTTCTCAAGATTCAACTGCT